AGTGGATCTTATTATCTTTCCCCTATTCTGCCACTTGTCCAAACTTCTTTTTTCCTCTTGAGGGCACCACCATTCTCTCAGTCACTGAATTTCACAATCTCACAGTTAGCTTTTGCCTCATTCTAACATTTTGTTAATGTTTTATTAATTTCTTTTTTATTATCCAGGCCCTGAAACACTCTCTAATGTCCCCTACTATCCCCACCAAAAGAGTCATTTCACATAACAAAAAGTATTTTTAAAGATTATATGAAGAAAAAGAAAAGGAAAAATTAGCATAACATCAATACATTGACAAAGATTGAAAATATATGCAATATACACCACTTGTGGACCTTCCATTTTGCAAACAGGTGGGGTGGTTGTGTTTTATCTCTTTTGTTATGCTGTCTATATTTTTATAGTTTTACAACACTAACTTTTGATTTTTTTTGGTCGTTCTTTTCAATTATCTTGCTATAATTAGGGTGTACATTGTTTTCTTCACATCGGTTCTTGTAGCTCTTTCCATGCTTCTATTTATAAATTTTTCATTCTTTTTAAAAATGTTTTATGTCTTTTTATGTCACCAGTGTTTCTTCCAGTATCCCTCAAATTCCCCCTCTAAGAGAGCCGTCTCATATAATAGCATTTTAAGACAAAGAAAAAGAATAAAATGCAAAAATGATCAGAACAACTAAACAATACATCTAAAAGATTTGAAATATGTAGAAAGTACAACACTTGTGGACTTCCATTATCTATAATAAAAAAGTTGGAGTAACAATATCTTTTTCTATCTCAATTCTTCTCTTATGATCATCCAAATATAACACAACCATTCCCAAGTGTTACCTCATTAGACTACTTCTATGACCTCTGATGATAATATAGTGCAGAGGGGACATATGCATCTTCTCCTCACATTAGAATATAGTCTATCATTGTTTAGTTCTTGTATAATTTTTGTTTCTTTTTATTTTTTTTCTTAATTGTTATGTTAGAACTTCAAAGGCTCTACAGTCTTTTCATCAAGAATGCTTGAAAGTTTTCTATTTCATCAAAGATCCATTTTGCCCTGTGTAGGAAGATATCCAGTTTTACAGAGTAAGTTCTTCTTTGCCTTCTGGAATATTGTATTCCAAGTTCTCCACTCATTCATAGTGGTGTCTACTAAATTATGTGTGCTCCTGATTGGACCTGTAGTGATTGATTCCTTTCTTTCTAGCTCCTTGTAGTATTTTTTCTTTGACTCAGATGCCCTAGATTTTGCTTTGATGTTTGGGGAACTTACCATTTTGGCATTTCTTTCAGAAGATGACCAGTGGATTCTTTCTGTTTTCACTTTGCCCAGTTGTTATAAGAGATGTGGGCAGTTTTTTATTTAATATTTCTTGAAATATGAAGTCTAGGGTCTCTTTTTATGTCATAGCATTCAGATACTCTAATGATTCTTAAATGTTTTCTCTTTCATCTGCTTTTGAATTTGGCTGTTTTTGCTATGAGATACTTAACCTTTTCACCAATTGTTTTGTAGTCTTTTCCCTTAGTTTTAAGATGTTTTCTTGCCCCATGGAGTCATTTATTTCAATTTGATCTATTATTATTTTCAGAGCAGTTGTTGCTAGGACTCCATTTTGTACCTCTTGTGCCAAGCTGTTAATTTCCTTTCTAATTATTACTTGAATAGCTCTCATTTATTTTCCAATCTCCCCCGGAACTTCAATTTCATTGATTTAAAAAAAATCCCTTTTTAAAAATCTTTCTTGATCTCTTCCAGGAATTCCAGTTGAAATTATTCCCAACCTTTCCAACATTGACTGTTTCATCCTTTATCACACTTGCAAATATACAAGGGGTGAGGTAAACCTCAGGGTTTTTTCTTTAAGGCTTTGCTTGTAGATATTTTGGAGTCAGTTTCTTCTTTTGGGGTTGTGTGTTGACTATTCCTGTTACCAGTTTTGGTGGGATTCCTTTTTTCAATTGCTCATTCTTCTAGCTTACCACCTGACTTAGGACTTGTTTTAAGGATTAGCCTCTCCTTAGGAGAGGATGTCTGGGCTTGTCCTGTTGCTTCTTTCTTGGGATATTGAGTGGTATGTTATTCCAGATTCACAGGGAGAGCTCACCCTAAGGACCTGTAAGCTTTCAATGCTCCCAAAGTGATTGTTTGCAAAGCTAATTGCTGTCCACATGGTCTGAACTCCAAAAGAACTTGATTTAAATTTGAGTCTAAGCAAGAGAAGATTGCAGTTCAGTGTAGCTAAAATCAGCCAGTTGGGAAGCTCTGCTGGTTCTGAGTAACACAATTACAAGTTCTTCTTTGGCCTGAGGTCATCACCCTGGTTATTTCTTTGAGGGCTTCAGACTATTTAGAAGATGCGACCTTGCTTTGCTTCTGGACTCAGAGTTACATTGCTACCAAACTTATTCCTATGAGATTGTGACTACTGGTGTATCCTTACCTTGGAATGCCACCCCCTGGATGTAGGTTCCCTTTTGTCCTCTACCCTAGAGCTGTGCCTCAGAACTAAGTAATTGGTGACAAGACTGCCAGTTGGCACCTATTGCTGTATGTCACTCCAATGGGAGTTTAGGGGTATCCTAATATGAGTCTGTGAGTTCCTTTTGCCTTGGCACCCAGACTCTCCTTACATACTGGAGTGTTCCACATGGTGCACTGCTGACTGGATACCATCCACATTATCTACTGACATTATCTACTGATCCTATCCCAGTGTCTGCTAAAATAAATGATTCTTTGTGACGTTTTCTTGGACTTCTCCTTCAGGATTCAGTCTTGCATTTTTGCATTTTCTAAATCTATTTGGGGAGATTTGGGACAGAAATGAGTAGAGCTTCTCTGTACAGCTTTTCGTTACTTCTCTGTCTTCCACATTCATCATTTCTTATAGTACAATAGTATTACATCAATGTGCCAAAATTTGTTTAGCTATTTCCTAGTCAATGGGCATCTATCTACTTTGTTTCTAATTCTTTACTACCACAAGAAGTGCTGCTAGAAAACTTTTGGTGTATGTGAGGACTTTTTTCATTGGCCTCCCTGGAGTAGAAGGCTGGTAATGAGATCCGTGGGTATGGTCTTATTAGTCACTTTATTCGCCTAATGCTAAATTGTTTTCCAAAATGTTTGTACTTACTCACAGCTCTACCAACAATACACTAGTGTGCCTGCCTTCCAACAAATCTCCAAGTGTAAGAAAAGGAGGAATCTGTCCTAGACGGTAGTCAAGAGCAGGCTGATATCAATGGTTTCCTGTGTTTATTTTTATGGTTCTCTCTAAGGACATTTACAAGCTACATCTACGTTCTGATTGGTGATTGATTATCTAATCTTATGATTTAAGCAATCTATCAGAGTTTACATCATTAGCAATTGTTTATCAGTTGTTAACAAGATTTGGCATACTCATGTCATTAACAAATACTTTTTTGGTTTTGGGACACATACATAAAATCCAAGAGACATTTATTAAATAACTTATGTGCCAGGCATTGCACTATTAATAAAAAGTACATTCATTAGTGGTTGTTTACCAGATTTGTGGACACACATATCATTGCAAAAGTATGCCTTTCAGGTGCTTATCTTGTTACAGAAAAGCAGTCCATGTAACAATTCATTGGTCAAGAAACAGGGACTTAAAACAAGTTAGAGATGCTTATGTTAAGTTAACTTGCTTATTTCCACTATACCCTTTCAACTCTACCTCATTCTATTGTTTACCTTGTTATTGTAGATCTTTAATTTTTTGTATTTTATTGAGTTCTGTATAACATTTATTTGATAATTTGATTGCCATAATATTGCAACTGTAATTTAACTTTGGTTGGCATTTTCATTGGCATGGCTCATCCATGAGTGCTGAATATTCCTCTTAATTTTTAAAGTTATTGTCAATTTCTTTCTAGTATGCTTGATGATTCCTTAGGATTTTCAAAGTAAAACATTGTGTCATTAACAAATAGGGATAGTTTTATTTTTTCTTTGCCTCTTTTTACACTTTTAATTTTAATTTCTTGTTATATTGCTATTGCTTGTGTTGCTAGAAGTATAACAAAAAATAATAAGGAGAGTGGACATTCTTCCTTTGAATTCTCTATTTTTTGGTAAAGATGCTAGCATAACCCCATTACATATGATGCTTGCTTTTGGTTTTAGATATATATATTTATAATAATAAAAGATCATTTTATGCCCATACTTCTTGTGGTTTTTAGCAAAATGATCTTACAATAATTCTATGCATGAGATGCAAAATATGCAAAATTGAGTAAACCAAATATAATTGAATGAGGGCAAGAGAACCAACATTTATTGATTTCTTCATTCACCCTTGCCTCCTTGTGTACTTTTAGAAAGAAATTTCTTCATGACTTCTTTGTTCTCTTATCCATTCCCTTCTTTCCATGGACATGGCCATGATTCTAGATCAGGCTTTCCTCACCTCTTACCTTATCTTGGTAAATTGTGTTAACTGGTCTTCCTGTTCTTTCTCTGAATTTCACCCTCTCCAAAGCAGCTAAAGTAGTAATCATTAGTTGCTTAGTGTTCAAAGTTCTCATACAATGCAGAGTGAATTGTATCAAGCCTTTTCTCATATTAGTCTCCTTCTTGACATCTCCTTTCCATCCAAACTGGACTATTGGCTCTAGCCCAAATTTCACTCTCTATCCGTTGTCTCTGTGAGTTTGCACAGACTATACTGCATGGATATAACATAATGCTTCCCACCTCTGTCTACTGACATCCTCATCTTCTTTCACAGTTCATGTAACTTCTTTTTTACTAAATCTCACCCAGTTAGTTCTCTTGCCCTCATCTATTCATTTTCAATTTACATATATATCTATATGTTGAATCTCACCAGGAAAATAAGCACAAGATCCTTGAGAGTAGGGCCTATTGTGCTTTTATACTTTGTTTGCCCACTGCCTAGTACAAGACTGGACAGAGTGGATTCATAATATACGCTTTTTTTGGCTGCTAAACTGCAGATATGGACAATTGTGTGACATGCCCAGAAGATCAATATCCAAACAGGGAGAAGGACCAGTGTCTCCCCAAAGTAACAACCTTCCTCAGTTTCCAAGAACCTTTGGGATGGAATCTGACCTGCATGGCTCTCTCCTTCTCTTTTCTCACAGTTCTGATCCTTATGATCTTTGTGAAGCATCAAGACACTCCCACCGTCAAGGCCAACAACTGGGTTCTGAGCTACGTGCTTCTCATCTCTCTCATCTTTTGCTTCCTCTGTTCTTTGCTTTTCATTGGCCGTCCTAACACAGCAACCTGCCTTCTTCAGCAAACAATATTTGGAATTGTATTCACAATGGCAGTTTCTTCTATTTTGGCCAAAACCATCATGGTGGTTCTGGCTTTTAAGGTCACAAGACCAGGAAGCAGGTTGAAGATGTGGGTACAGCCTAAGGTGTCCAATTCTCTAGTCTTTCTCTGCTCTGTGATCCAAGTGTTTCTCTGTGGGATCTGGCTGGGGACTTCACCTCCATTCTTAAGTACAGACACTCACTCTGAACCTGGCCACATCATCACTGAGTGTAAGGAGGGCTCTGTTATTGCCTTCTACTGTGTCCTGGGCTACATGGGCATCCTGGCCCTGGGCAGCTTCATGGTGGCTTTCCTGGTCAGGAACCTTCCTGATACCTACAATGAAGCCAAGTTCATCACCTTTAGCATGCTGGTCTTCTGCAGTGTGTGGGTCTCTTTCCTTCCCACATATCAGAGTTCCAAGGGGAAGGACATGGTGACTGTGGAGGTTTTTGCCATCTTGGCCTCCAGTGCTGGGTTACTGGGCTTCATCTTTTTTCCCAAGTGCTATGTGATCCTGCTAAGGCCAGAGAGGAACACTCTGGAATGGTTAAGGAACAAATCAGATTCCAGAGCCAGGAACTTAGTCCTAGAGACTCTTCCAAGGTCATGAGAAATACTGGATAAAACACCAATATTAGCTTCAAATAACTGTAATTTAATATCTTGGTGATGACTAACCCTTGTTCTCTTTTACTAATTAAGTTCTCTTTCCAACCTTGTTGATTGCATTTAATGGAATGGTAATCTTGAGAGATAGCCCTTATATTTAAAAATGTAATCACCAAGGGTCTTGTTCCCTTATCACCTGTGTTCTGGACATCTTTGCGATCTACTACGGCTCACTGCTTGCTACCATTCAATTTCTTCATCACCTATTGCCTGAGTTAGTGACCTATAGAGACTCCCTCCCTCCTGTCTCTGCCTTCATTTTAAGGACTAAATTCCATCCAAAAGTAGTTGTTCTATTCTGTTCCCCCATTCTAAATGCCAGTGCAGTTCCCCACCATCCTTACCCCCAGTAGCCTGGCCATCTCCACCTAAGAGATGGCAAATGTCACTCCTTACAGAACCTGTATTACAGAAGGAATCTGCCCTGAAATAAAAAGCTTATGATATATTCCTTTGTATCATACTTAATTTGCACTTGTCTTATGTTCCATATTATGGTTTTAGCTCCTTGAGGACAAGGCCTATTTTTTTTCTTTGCCTTTGTATCTCCAAGATCAAGCAGAGTGTCACTCACAACATAGGCATGTACTAAATATTTTAAGAATTGATATGGATTTGATTGGTTTCTTTTATAGGATAATAGATCTGGAATGGAACATAGAGGTCATGTAATCCAACATCTTCATTTTAACAATGAAGAAACTGAGTCCCTGAGAAGTAAAATGTTTTTACCTAAGATCATATACCAAGTAAAATTCAAAGCTAGAATTTGAATACAGAGTCTTCCACAAAAAACAAAGCCATCACTCATCTTAGTGTTCTATGTCACCATACTTTAGCTTATTTCTTGATGTTAATCCTATGAATGCACAGTCCCAAGATTATAATGAAAGTGGAAATGGCTTACATTTTGTGTCTTCTTGACACTGAGCTGCTGTATTTATTCATTATCTCATTTCCCAAAATGAGCTTTCTGTTAGAATTCAGACACTCTCACTGCTAAACCTCACACACCTCACAAACCCAATGTCTGGTATTCTTTTTTATCTGTTGTCTCATTCCTAGTGGGGAACACATGAGAATTAGCTGCCATAACTAGAAATGAGGCATGAATCCAGATCTTACTGGAGATCATTCTCCTCACATGCCATTTATTCTATATTCAGTAGTAGTCAAGATCAACTGGAAAGGCTAGAGGCTTTATTCTTGAGGCCAAAACCAGGATTTAAGTCAAATCTGGTGCCCAAGTCATTACCAGAAACTTTTCAACATGAGTGAAAAATAGGTATATAGTGGCCACTGTCTTGCAGGACAGCCTGGACACAAGTAGAGCTCTATTAGGAGAAAGATTAAATGCATAGCCAAGGATGGGTTTTCTAGGATAGGATCCTGGGGTATGATAGGGGCAGTTATGCCACTCAGTGGCTAGCAGAGGTCCACAAATTGAGGTTTGAAATTGACTGTATGCCAGAGCAAAAACATCCTTTCCACCCTATTTCCCCAGAGGGAACATATTCTCCATCCCATGTTATTTTGATGTAGCGAAACCTCATCATATCATTCTAGTTATGGGCTTTGTTCAATGTAGTCTTAGCTTTCTGAGTTCTGATTTCAAAAATTCCAAGCCAGAGCCATGGTCACATAACTACTAGATAAGGTGTGCAGCCTTTTGACTTATTCTTGTCTCCATATCCCCGTTGTGGTCATATCTTAACAATCTCCACTCAAGCAGCCTCCACTGTAGTTCTCCATTTTAACCTTTGGCCTTATTCAACAGAATGACCTCATTGGTCACTGCTTGTAGAATCAGTATGAAAAGGGTCCAGATATCTGCAAACTTCTGGCCTGCAGATCTGTGGAAGCATGAATTCTAACAAGAGTCATCACTTCTAAGAACCATATTCCTCCTTCACAATAGTGAAGAGACACAGAATGAAAGGATTTAAGAGGGAGGAGACAAGAAGGTCAAGTGAAATGAGCATTTAGCTCTCCAAAGGGAAATGTCTAAACAACTTTTTTTAGAGTGTACCAAATCAAATTCTGGGCAGGATAACCAACAAAAAGTCACAGTCAGACATCCTTCCAGACCAGGAGAGTTTGGTAGGGCAGAAAGAGAGGTCTAGAGATACTAGGGTGGGGGCTGGCAAGAAGCCCATGTGGTGTTAGTATTATCCACTGTAGGAATTGGAAGGAACAACAGTGACAGTACCACTGGGATCACTTAGCATCCAGGGATGCTAATCTTTACAGATTATGATGAATTTAGGTAACTACCTGGTCATAAATAGACTGTAGTTGTACATTTTCTTAGCACTATACATAGGACTAGGCACACTTTGGCATGTCCTTTACCTATTATCTAGTCTTGGGTCTTAATTCCAGTATGAAGAGGAACACTTTCAGCTTGTGGTGACATGGGATCAGAGGCCCTACCAAGGTAAGGACCAGACTGTGGACAACAGGACAGCGGACAGAAGTCTACCAAAATCACAAAACCTTAGAAGCAGTGAAAGTACAGGTCCCCGGATCAAACTACAAAACCTCAGGTTACCTTCCTACCCCCAAAATGAGTAGAACCTAACCCTGACACAAAGTACAAAGTGAAGAAATCCCCTGGAGAATGAACAAACACCAAAAAAGAGAGACCTGAACATAAAAATTTAGTTGATAACAGGGAAACTCAAGACATAAACTTAGAAAAAGACAATGACTTGAAAACACTTACAAGTAAAACCTTAAATAAAAATGCAACACAAAAATTCCTAAAAAAGCTAAACCAAGAGATTTTTCTCAAAGAGCAAGGAAAAAATGATGTTAATAATCAAATAAAAATGTTAGAGGAAAAATTGTGGAAATGAAAATGCAAGAACATTATGAAATGTGTCTGTGGTCATTGAGAGAGGCCATTGTGGAAAGACAGAGCCATGATGGTGAAGGAAGGCAGAAACCCACTTGAGCTTTCCTAAACTCACTTCCAAACAACTATAAAATAGCAGCACAAGACACATTCTGGAGCAGCAGCACCAGCAAAAAGAACAGTGTGAAACAATTTTGCAGCCCAAGATAACTTAGAATGTCTGCAAAATCTATCTCACTATGATGAAATGGGAACAGAATACAATGCAGGTAGCATCTGGGCAAATCTGTAGCCACACTCAAAGCCCCAGTATAGGTCAGTGACAATACCCAATATCCCAGGGCAGGTCAACAGCAAGGTTTCATGCACTTGGTGTACCAGGCAAGCAATGAGGCTACATATGTCCAGTGCAAGAAGCTTGAGACATTTTTCCCTCTACCTCAAGGCTACAGCCCACCTTTAATAACATAAAATTTCAAGTTATGAAAGAGGCTGGAAAATAAGCAAGCAAACAAACAAAAAAGAAACTGACTATAGAAAGTTACTATGGCAACAGGGAAGGTCACTTTTGTCTACATGCCAAGGCAAACCCAGGAACTATGTGAACAAAATTACAAAACACTTTTTCACACAAATCAGGTCAGGTCTAAAAAAATTGTAAAAATATCAATTGCTCATGGGTAGGATGAGCTAATATAATAAAAATGACAATGCTACCTAAATTTGTTTACTTATTCAGTGCCATACCAAACAAACTACCAAAAATTATTTTTTAGAGCGAAAAAAAAATAGAAACAAAACTCCTTTGGAAGAACAAAAGGTCAAGAATGCCAAGGGAATTAATAAAAAAAAATGCAAAGGAAAATGGCCTCACCATACCAGTAAACTACATTATAAAGTGGCAGTCATCAAAACTATTTGGTATTGGCAAAGAAATAGAGTGGTGGATCAGTAGAATAAATTAGATACACAAGAAAATGTAATCAATGACTACTGTAATTTACTGTTTGATAAACCCAAGAACTCATTAGTGATGAAGACTGTTGAGAAAACTCGAAAATACTTTGGAAGAAACTAGGCATAGACCAACATCTTACACTATATACCAAGATAAGATCAAAATGGGTGTATGATTTAAACGTAAAGGGTTATACTTTAAGCAAATTAAGAGAGCAAGGAATAATTTACTTATCAGATCTACAAAAAAGGTAAGAATTTATGAAAAAAGCAAGGGATAAAGAACATATGAAATACAAAATGGATAGTTTTGATTATATCATTTTTTTTAATTGCACAAAGCCAATACAACCAACATTAGAAGGGAAATAGAAAGTTGTGAAACAATATTTACAGGCAGTGTTTCTGATAAAGGTCTCACTTCTAAAATATATAGAAAACTGAATCAAATTAATAAGAATATAAGTCATTCCCCAATTAACAAATGATCAAAGAATATGAACAGGCCATTATCAGATGAAGAGATTAAAGCTGTCTATATTCAGATGAAAACAGGGTCTTAAATCACTATTGATTAAAGAAATGCAAATTAAAACAACTGTGAGGTGGTGCCTCACACATATGAGATTGGCTAATATAACAAAAAAAAAAGAAATGATAAATGTTGGAGAAGATGTGGGAAAATTGGAACACTAATGAATTGTTGGTGAAGTGGTGAACTGATCCGGTGATTCTGGAGAGCAATCTGAAACTATGTCCAAGGGGCTATAAAACTGTGCATATCCTTTCATCCAGCAATATCACTGGTAGGTCTGTATCCTAAAGATATCTTTAAAAAAGTTCAAAGGACCCACTTGTACAAAAATATTTATAGCAGCTCTCTTTGTGGTGGCAAAGAATTGGAAATTGGGGGGGATGCCCATCAATTGGGGAATGGCTGAGCAAGTTGTGGTATATGAATGTAATGGAATACTATTGTTTCATAAGAAATGATGAGTAGGGAGTGGAGACAAGATGGCAGAGTACAAGCAGTGACTTGCTTGAGTTGTCCCCCAACCCTTCCAAATGCCTGTAAAAATGGCTCTAAACAAATTCTAGAACAACAGAAACCACAAAAAGACAGAGTG